AAAGGTTACTGGGACTATTTAGCTCAAATGCATTCGGTAGCATTTGTGTCTGTAGATTACCAGTGCACCAAAACAGTACATACTTGTCAGAAAACATTAGTTGTCTCAATCAAAACATTTCACTGTTTTTAATACGTTATATTTATATAGTGATGGTTTGGTTTAGGTAGGATCAGTGGACACCAGTGGTCTCTGAGCTACTGAAGTTGTCTCTAAGGTACTGAAGTTGTCTCTAAGGTAGATTGCTTTCATTTAAAGACATCATCAGTGTCTAAGCTACATCAGTTGTCTCTAAGGTAGATTGCTTTCATTTAAAGACATCAGTGGTCTGTAGGCTACATCAGTTGTCTCTAAGGTAGATTGCTTTCATTTAAAGACATCAGTGGTCTGTAGGCTACATCCATGTGTGAAATCAGAAGAATACCTGTGATTTAACAGAAATACTGTTCAAGGGGCACTAAACCAGACCCATAAATCCTTGAATTGGTAGCCATTTACCTTCAGTATGTATATCATCTTAATGCTCTATCTACCCTGAATATTTATTGTGTACAAAGGAACCTAATAGTCTGGATAATTCTGTTTGTGAACTTAACTTCCATGTTCCTGACGTATCCCCATAACCATGAACCGTACAATCACCTGGTATCCCGAGATAAGAAAAGGCTAACTATTTGGTCATTTATCTACCTATGTAAGATTTAAGTCTTACCTGTATGTAATGTATCACAGCTTTAGTACTTGTCAGTTGCTGGGATCTGTCTCGATGTCTCTGACTGAGATTAGTGTACAGCAACCGACACTCTTTCAACAAACTTGATACTTTTTGTACAGTACCACGGCAAAGCAGAATGAACTTGTTGATCGTCTAGGTAACCAGGTACATGTAACCTCTTCATAAGAAAACCGAAGTATATCAGAAGCAAAGTATTAGGTATATAAGATATCAACCAGGCCTTGAGTCACGGAGTGTCTTCAGTGCAGTCAGCAGTAAGTGCAAGACAAGTATCAGTTTGTAGTTGTTGTACTAAGATAATATATTGGTCAGTCACATCTTGATATATATTTTATGAATATCAATGCTTTGATGACCATGTCCTTGATAGTATAAGCATTTGGTGAAGGTTTGTGTCATTTGGTAAGCTTTACTGCTACTAGGGGTCTGAAGTACTGGGGCTCTGGACAATACAGTGTCTGGAATACAGGGGGTCTGAAGTACTGGGGGTCTGTACAATACAGTGTCTGGAATACAGGGGGTCTGAAGTACTGGGGCTCTGCACAATACAGTGTCTGGAATACAGGGGGTCTGAAGTACTGGGGCTCTGGACAATACAGTGTCTGGAATACAGGCCTCCTGAAGTACTGGGGCTCTGCACAATACAGTATCTGGAATACAGGGGGTCTGAACTACTGGGGCTCTGTACAATACAGTGTCTGGAATACAGGGGGTCTGAACTACTGGGGCTCTGGACAATACAGTGTCTGGAATACAGGGGGTCTGAACTATTAGGGCTCTGCACAATACAGTGTCTGGAATACAGGGGGTCTGAACTACTGGGGCTCTGGACAATACAGTGTCTGGAATACAGGGGGTCTGAACTATTGGGGCTCTGTACAATCCAGTGTCTGGAATACAGGGGATCTGAACTACTGGGGCTCTGGACAATACAGTGTCTGGAATACAGGGGGTCTGAACTATTGGGGCTCTGTACAATACAGTGTCTGGAATACAGGCGTCCTGAAGTACTGGGGCTCTGGACAATACAGGGGGTCTGAACTACTGGGGCTCTGGACAATACAGTGTCTGGAATACAGGGGGTCTGAACTACTGGGGCTCTCTACAATACAGTGTCTGGAATACAGGGGGTCTGCAATACTAGGGCTCTGGACAATACAGTGTCTGGAATACAGGGGGTCTGAACTATTGGGGCTCTGTACAATACAGTGTCTGGAATACAGGCATCCTGAAGTACTGGGGCTCTGCACAATACAGTGTCTGGAATACAGGAGGTCTGAAGTACTGAGGCTCTGGACAATACAGTGTCTGGAATACAGGGGGATCTGCAATACTAGGGATCTGGACAATACAGTGTCTGGAATACAAAGGGATCTGCAATACTAGGGATCTTGAGTATAAAGTATCTGCAATACAGGAGGATCTGCAATACTAGGGATCTGGGTGCCGTTGTACAAAGCGATCTTAACGCTAAGGTGACCGTAACTCCCATACTTTAACATAGACTTAAGGTAGCCTTAGAGCTAAAGTTGTTTTGTACAACGGCACCCTGGAGTATAAAGTATCTGCAATACAGGAGGATCTGCAATACTAGGGATCTGGAGTATAAAGTTTCTGGAAATTCAGTTCTGCAATAATATGGATTTGGACTGTAAGGTGTGTCTGGAATACAAGAGGTCTGCAATACTTGGTATCTGGACTATAAAGTGTCTTGAATACAAAGACAACAAATGGTCTGGAATACAAGGGGTCTAGATTTCAAGGGATCTGGAATGCAAAGAGTCTTATCACTAGATGACCATTCATCCAAATTATGATGACATGGGCAGACAATGTTTGAAACAACTCCTTTAAACTAGCCTGGAAAACTGCTCACGATCCATTGAAGTAAACTCAGATTTCTTAGTGTTTGTAAAATTATTGTTGATCATTAAGTACTAACTTTAAGATGTGTTTGTTTTCATGTAAACATGACACATGTGCATACTTTATATAAATTCCACAAACATGTTAAAGTCGGGATGACAAGTTAAATATTGTAATAAGAAGGAATTGGTTGTTCCCTGGTGTCCTCTGATGTATTCAAACACTGACACTCTTAAAAGGGAGACAACTGACACATTGACCTTTGTGTCAAGATGCCAAGACTGGCACCATTGGTTCTGTTTCCAAGCTGTTCACCACAAATGCCTGTGTCAGATAAAGAAATATGCCTCCCTTGGTGAATAATGATCAGAGCTACAGGGATCTATGTAGAGCAAATCAGAGGAACATTTGTTGCTATGTCTGTAAGAATTCCCAAACTGGAATATTATTCTCAGTTTAGGATTTTTGTCCACAGTAAACCTGAAGGCAGGAGGGAAAAAAATATTTAAAAATCACCAGTCAAAGTAATATTCCTTTTAAATACTAAAAGTGTTTTACATTTGGCAATTTATGAAGTGTATATGGGGCAAAAAAATACATCAAAAATTTTTTGTGTAAGTTTACATTTTTGGCCAATAAAAACGTTAGGATTTTATTTTTTGAGTGGAGAAAATTCATTTTTATATTTTTCCTTATGCTTGAAAAAATACGACCAGAGGATCAGTAAAACCAGAAATAAAATTGGTCTGGCCTTATGTTGGGGCGGTGGGGTAGCCTAGAGGTTAAAGCGTTCGCTCGTCATGCCGAAGACCTGGGTACAATGTGTGAAGCACATTTCTGGTGTCACCTGTCGTGATATTGCTAGAATATTGCTAAAAGAAACGTTAAACCATGCTTACTCACTCACTAACTCACTCAGTTTATGTTATTAAAGGTATAACTAACACTGTGGCTTTGCAGAGGAGACTTTTGTATCACAGATAGCATGTCCCACAAGTAGGAAGTGCTGAATGTATAGGTTTACATTGTTGCCATGAAAGTGAAAGTAATGAATTGAAAAAATATAATTCAACAAATCAATTATTTTTCCCAACTTATCTGCTGAGATAAACCAGGGGAGATAACTCTGGATGACCGTGCAGTGTGGGACCTCTTTAACTGGGGGTCTCCGACTGTAAGCATCTTTCTGACTCACTCATGTTGTGACTTTACTGGATAGCTTAGCCAGATGGAACAAGATGTCTAGCACACTATACACAGATCTGTTTTATTATACATGTAAGTACTTAACAATTACAACAACGATCGTGAACATACATGGACATGCAAGGGACTGAACTTGTTCCTAGGAAGGAGGGAACAAGTTTGTAGACACTGTAGACATGTTCCACTCATCTGTTCAAGATATACCAAATACATTAAATTCAAGAAAAAAACAATAAATATATCTTATCTCATCTTATCACTTATATTTGGACTGATATTTATGCAAACTTATAGCGTCACTCTCTGCAAATCAGTCATTGCAGATGGCGTTTGTGTGAGAATGATGTACACAAACTATTGATTCTATTTATATAGCATCGCTGCAATATTTGCACTGTGTTCATTCCAGAACATATTCTTACCTTTGATGATCTATTTTTCTGATAATATTTCTTTAGGAATAAAACATTTTGTAATTTAGTCAAATATGGGTTTTGTAGCATGTCTGTTATCCAACTGCAGCAGGTCAAACCTGTGTACAGAAGCAGCACTGCTACAGGCTGTAGGGTTCTCACGCAACGTTCCTATCAATGCGTGGCATTTGGGACCTGATTCACCATCGCTAGGTGATAGCATTGTTTTTGATGCTTCAGCTTCATAACATTGTCTACCGAGGTCTGGTTTCACAATTGCTGTGTACATGGAGCAAGGCAATGTGAAGGTGTTGACTGAGTCCATGAGGCAGTGTACAGTTACTGTATGCTTCTGTATGCTACTGTAAGTTACTGTATGCTACTATGTGCTTCTGTATGTTGCTTTCATGTCACTACCCGTGATGGTCCGGGTTAGAATATTGATCTTCAGTAACCCATGCTTGTCGTAAGAGGCGACTAATGGGATCGGGTGGTCACGCTTGCTGACTGGGTTGACACATGTCATTGGTTCCCAATTGCGCAGATCGATGCTCATGCTGTTGATACTGGATTGTCTGGTCCAGACTCTCGAATATTTACAGACCGCCGCCATATAGCTGGAATATTGCTGAGTGCGGCGTAAAACTAAACTCACTCACTACTTTATGTCACAATTTCTTATTGTATGTTACTGATGTTATTGTATGTTGCTGTTTGTTACTGTTACGCATGACGACTGTGTCTGACTTCAGCTTATTCTGTTTTCCTTTTGTCCACAGCCTCTGCGGAGAGCTTCTTCAAAAGCAGGACATTCCAGGTCAGAAATGAGAGTCTACCAGGTGAGTTGTCTTCCCTTGGATTTACTTCAGTTGCATTGTGGAGGAATGTTGCTTTGTGACTTGTATTTTTCAGGCAAATTCTTTCAAAATCATAATGTGGTCAGTATATAGCTCTAGAAACTTTTCAAGTAGTATTTTCGGTGTTTTGCTTGTATCAAAAAGTGCTTTAATTAGTTGTGTCCAGAAGAGGCAAACATAACCAAAGAATTCATCTTTCACTCAATGTCGTCATGGGTCCCCTGTTCAGCTTTTGGGTTCCCTGTTAACACTGGTACAACAGAAAGACCTGTGGGGTTATAGTAACCTATTTAGGGTGTAAGAGGCAACAAAATGGTTATGGTGGTAAAATTCAGGGATTCAGGGTTGTCATTACCCTGAGGTTGTGGGTCGTTGCTCGCAATATCGATCACTGGATGGTCTGGTCCAGATTAGATTATTTACAGGGTGCCGTCACTTAGCTGGATTATTGCCATGTTACACATTAACAAACAAAGTTTGGTGTATTTGTGCATAAACACCCCCTACAGATCTTGTAGGCATGACCAGGTACAGGGCACTAATGGTGTTGAGCTGTACTAATGCCGTTGCTGACTGGTTTGTCTTGATCTGACACATAATGATTTCGCGTTTATGGAGTTATAAGTGTGGAAAAACGTGTTCATACTGAAACATACATAAAAATGACTTCACAGACTGCTGTTTTAAACATTAACATGAAATATTGTAGACAATTGTATGAAATCACACGGATCTGTATCCATGCTTTTGATAATGCAGCACAGGTCCCGCCAACTAGTTTTCTGCCAATCAAGAAACAGTAGTTCATTAGTGGGAGTGGCCTGATGTATCTCAGATTTATGGAAACATACAATAATTGTTTGGTTAGATAATCAAATGTATCATATAAATGTGATACAGAGGTCATATTGCTTTCTGTGGCCTTCAACAACATACTAGCCTTTTCAAAATGCATACAAGATGTCGAAGAGCTAAAAGTACTTAATGTCTTTTCATTACTGAAGTGAAATCCTTAGGTGTGACAAGGTATGTTCTGTATGGTTACCTGTGGGTGCTCGTATTATCAACCACTAGTTTATCTGGCTCAAACACCATGAATCATCAGTTGTAAGAAGTTAGCTCAGAAATATAAAATGTAATGAATACTGACAAAGTTGTAGTGAAATTAGGCCCCCTGCAGATCAACACCTCATCTTTATGAGAGTAATTAGCATTACACGACTCCCCGTTAATTACCAATCAGTCAAGTCAAACTTGCCCCATGCTCCCCGACACTTTGTAGTGTAGATTGTAATCATCTCATGGTCTGAAAACGGATCCGATTCCATGTGAGTTCCAGGCACAGTTTTAGTACTCCCCAGAGGAGCTTGTTCACTTCTGGCATCGTAAACATGCACATCTGAGCACAACTTACTGAGCTAGACCAGTTCAAGTAACAGAGCTGTGTTATAACAATCTGTAGTCTGTTTATATGTTCTCCATCATTGATACCATTTCAGAGTATCTTTATGATATAAGTCAGCAGGCATGCCAACATTTTGGCTTTGTGATAGGGAATATTGTGTATTTAACTTAGCTATGTGTTACATTTGTTGAACGGTTGTCATGGAAACTGAAACCTAAGTGCCTTTGAGCTCATACAGTTATGATATATGATATGTATGGGGTGAATCTATGGACAGCGGAGTTGGGAAAAATGTATTTCATGAAGTGAAATTTATTGAGTTAAAAGGAACCCAAGAACATTTGGACAATTTGCCTGTAATAAGTGCATTGTTATGTTTGGTTGCGTTCCTGCAGAGAATCTGATTGGTTGTATTAAAGATATCGGTGCAGAGTTCACACTGCTGCAGCACTGTGCCATTGGCTTATTCTGGTTTCAAATGGTGCCCACTGGTGGTCTCAATGACGCTGTGTTTGACTCCAACCTAATGAAACAGATATAGTATCCTGATCGCCAGAAACAATGTTAGTTTGTTTTTAATGTAACCTTGTTAAAATTCCCAGTCATGCACTCAGAAATACTCCATTACATTAAACATGATTATACCACTCCATGTGCCCTCATATGGAGTCATTTCACTGTTTTGATCTCTGCTCACAGATAAACAATTATATACAAAGTGATTTCCCTGAAAATGGTGTTAGGTAACTTCACCAAAACATTTTATATGAAGCTTGGTGACTGGTCCATTTCACCAGCAGTAGCCAATCATATTTCTAGTTGCATATTTCCCGCATGGCCAATTGCTCAAGTGGCAGGGCAGGATATCGTCTCATCTTCAAGGAAACAGAAGGCAAATGATAATCATCACAAAAGAGACACTTGTACGGAAATGACAGCTGCTATTTTACAAGCTAGATTAACAAATAAGGATCAGGAACTAAGTACAGTTGTAGGTTCCATTGCAAATTTCAAAGATAATTCACTCAAACTGTACCATTGTATAGTAAGATGATACTGATGGGTTGCTGGGTGATCTGTATTACCTGGGCCTAGATTTTCGAACTCACTTAGCGCTAAGATAGTCGTAAGTTAATGTTAATGTATGGCACTTATGACTATCTTAGCGCTAAGAGAGCTTCAAAAATATAGGCCCAGGAGTGTTCCATCATATTGTCTGAATGTCCTTCAGTTTGGGTTAACTTATACACGGGAGTGGAACTTCCCTTGTTTGTGAGGAGTGTTGTAGTTACATATTCTGAACCAACCTTACTTCAAGTCTGTGACGGGCATTTAAGAGACGGGGGAACATGAAAACATGGAACTTTTATGGAATACAGCTTCTATTTTCCCTGGTGAAGGGGCAAGAAGTTGCTCAGAAATGCCATAAATAAGCAATAAACAAATTGCTATCATGTAAGTTTCATGTTCTCACAACCTAATTTTCACATTTTTACAAATCTATTGACATTCTCATAAAATAAATGACAAATATGACTTCTGTATGAGCTTATTTCAGTACAAATGGGGTTGATAGATGAAGTACTGTTACAGGCAGTCACTGCTCACTTCACGAAACATAAACTCATCTCTTAGTCTCAGTGTTTATCTGAACCTGAGGAACTGAGGAAAATGTGGTTACTTTGAATAGATGTCAAACCTCAAATTGCTGCTCAGATGCTGCTTCTGGCCATTTCAGTTGTTCACTAGTTTGTCCTGTGTTTGTGCTGTGTACATCAGATGTAACTTAATCTCTACATCATGCAAAGGTGTACATCAGATGTAACTTAATCTCTACATCATGCAAAGGTGTACATCAGTTGTAACTTAATCTCTACATCATGCAAATGAGGTATCTATTAGTTTTAACATCATGCAAATGTGTATATCAGTTTTAACTTAATGCTTTACATCACACAAATGTGTATATCAGTTTTAACTTAATGCTTTACATCACACAAATGTGTATATCAGTTTTAACTTAATGCTATACATCACGCAAATGTGTATATCAGTTTTAACTAAATGCTTTACATCACACAAATGTGTATATCAGTTTTAACTTAATGCTTTACATCACACAAATTTTGTATATTCCAGTTTTAACTCTATGCTTTACACCACATAAATGTGGTATATTTCAGCTTTACATCATGCAAATGTGGTTTATATCAGTATTAATTTTATTCTGAAAGTGATTTGAAAGAATTAATTGTAAAGTATTTGATAACAGAATTGTTTCCTGGGTGAAAATGTTTTTCAAAACCTTTTCAGCAAAGTAACCAAATATAAATTTCTAATCTGTTTGTATTTTGTATAAAGGAAGCCTTCTCCTCACGAGAGTATATCTTCAGTTCCAAATACTAATGTCACAGAAGGAATTCAAAGTCAGACTTGGAATTTGAGTTTTATGACACAGAGAAGAAATATTTTCCTTTTCATGTCACAAGCTTTCATGTGATGTCTTTTACCTGTGGACATCAAAGCAGTAGGATGGACTGGTCACAAAGGTTCCCCGTAACAGGATATCGTTACCTGTAATTAAGGAGGGCAATATACTCAGGCCAGGTGTTATATGGCCAGAACTTTGATGTCCGCTCTCAACAGTTGCTGTATCATCAGTTCGGACAGATATCTCCATAACGTTGAAATATTAAAAATACCAGTGCCTTCAGCATCTAGACCAGAAATAAGTTAAATGTAAATGTTAAATACAATTTAAGGTGGTATGGAATATGAATAAATTATTTAAGGTACTGTAACTAAATCCTTCACAATAAACCTCCGTAGGACCCACATTGTGGAACAATCTTCCAAACAACATCTAGGACACGCGAAACTCGGACAGAAGCGAATGCTAAAAACACAGCTTTTGGACAGTGCCTTTGCCTGAGCAACTCCGAGCAATTTGTTGGAACAGGCGCTATATAAATATTAACTATTATTATCATTTCACCTCAAGGGGCAGTGGGGTAGCCTAGTACTTACAGCTTTGACACTGTCATGTTGAAGACCCAGGTTCGATTCCCCACATGTGTACAATGTGTATACCCATTTCTGGTGTCCCCGCCATGATATTTCTGGAATATTGCTAAAAGCGGTGTTAAACCATACTCACTCACTCACTCATTTCTTCAACATGTTGAGGAAATAAAGTTTGAAGTCAGTGCAGAAATAGATGGCTCATTGAAACTCAGTAATGACACCAGGTGTTCACAGATGTTAAATGGATATTTCTTAAACATGGAAAGATGCATTCTTGTCCTGTCTTGATACAGTTTCCCATGCATTAGAAGAGTGTGGCTAAAACTAAACTCATTCTTTATAAAACCACTTTATATGACTGTTCAGAAATCCCCCATTTGTGAACAACTCTCAGTTTAGTTCAGTTCCAGTCAATATGTCCCTTATGTATTTCATTTCCTAGAATATTTCAGTAATAAAAAGGGGATAAGAACATCACAGGACTGAATATACAACCCTGCTGAAACCTACAAGATATAATTAATATAATTATGGCGTAAACATTCCCTCTGGA